ATCCCCAGGGACTGGGCCAGCAAGGCTCAGGCTCCAGTCCTGAGGCTGCAGGGGATCCTGCCAGTGCCTCCCCTCCCCAGGTTGCAGGAGTGCCCTTTCTCAAGCAGTCCCCAGGGCACCAGAGCCCTCCTCCTTCCCCTAAAGTGCCCAGCTGTAAGCCCCTGAAGGAAGAAGATGAGGGGCCAGTGGACAAGTCTCCCCCGAGAAGTCCCCAGAGTCCTTCCAGTGGAGCTGAGGCTGCAGACGAGGACAGCAATGACTCCCCTGCCTCTTCCAGCTCCTCCCGGCCCCTCAAGGTGCGGATCAAGACCATTAAAACATCTTGTGGGAATATCACGAGGACTGTAACTCGGGTCCCCTCCGATCCTGATCCCCCTGCCCCCTTGACTGAGGGGGCCTTCCTGGCTGAGGCCAGCCTCCTGGCTGAGGCCAGCCTCCTGAAGCTGTCCCCCGTAACTCCAACTCCTGAGGGTCCAAAGGTGGTGAGCGTACAATTGGGTGATGGCACGAGGCTGAAAGGCACTGTGCTGCCTGTGGCCACCATCCAAAATGCCAGCACCGCTATGCTGATGGCAGCTAGTGTGGCCCGTAAAGCTGTAGTTCTGCCTGGGGGAACTGCCACCAGCCCTAAGACAATGGCTAAGAATGTGTTAGGCCTGGTTCCCCAAGCCCTGCCCAAGGCTGAGGGGCGGACAGGACTTGGGGCAGGGGGGCAGAAGGTCAATGGTGCCTCAGTAGTGATGGTGCAGCCTTCAAAGCCGGCCAGTGGGCCAGGCACAGCAAGTGGCACTGTGATCTCGCGGACCCAGTCCAGCCTGGTGGAGGCCTTTAACAAGATCCTCAATAGCAAGAACCTGCTGCCCGCCTACAGGCCAAACCTGAGTCCGCCAGCCGAGGCTGGACTGGCCCTGCCTCCAGCAGGCTACCGCTGCCTTGAGTGTGGGGATGCCTTCTCCTTGGAGAAGAGCCTGGCACGGCACTACGACCGGCGGAGCATGCGCATCGAGGTTACCTGCAACCACTGTGCCCGCCGCCTGGTCTTCTTCAACAAGTGCAGCCTGCTCCTGCACGCGCGGGAGCACAAGGACAAGGGGCTCGTTATGCAGTGCTCACACCTGGTCATGAGGCCTGTGGCCCTTGATCAGATGGTGGGCCAGCCGGACATCACTCCTCTGCTGCCTGTAGCTGTCCCACCTGCCATTGGACCTCTGGCTTTGCCTGTCTTGGGCAAGAGTGAGGCAGCCATCACCTCTTCCGCCGTTACTGCAGTTGCCACCGAGGCCCCCGTGCTGCCACTTTCAACAGAGCCGCCTGCTGCCCCTGCCACCTCTGCTTACACGTGCTTTCGCTGCCTGGAGTGCAAGGAACAGTGCCGGGACAAGGCTGGCATGGCAGCCCATTTCCAGCAACCTGGGCCCCCTGTCCCTGGGGCCACCAGCAACGTGAGTTGCCTTTACGTTCCTCTGGGGTGGGAACAACCAGATGCCGTGGGGATAGGATCCAGGGTGTTGGGGGCCTGAACAACAGGAGTAATAGGGGACAAGTCCCACCCCATGGACTTACCTTGTTTAATAACCCCCTCGACAGGTGTGCCCATCCTGCCCCATGATGCTCCCCAATCGCTGCAGCTTCAGTGCCCACCAGCGCACGCATAAGAACCGACCCCCCCACGTCTGCCCTGAGTGTGGGGGCAACTTCCTGCAAGCCAATTTTCAGACCCACCTGCGGGAGGCCTGTCTGCATTTCTCTCGCCGTGTGGGATACAGGTGCCTCGGACCCCTCCCCTTGTAGAACTTTAGGTCTCGTGCGTCTCGGCACTAACTGTTCAGATGGCCTCAGAGAACGCCGACCTCGGTACCCCTCAGCTCTGTTGTGTTGGCAGACTCAGCCCTGAGACTCCGGCCCTGCCTTCCAGTCCTTCCCCGTGAGGATGGGGAAGCGGGCCTGCTGGGTTCCCGCGCTGCCTCCACGGCCTTCGGTGGCCGTCCCCCTCCACGTTGCTGGTGCTCCTCCACCACTGGTTGCCTTCCTGGAGTCCACCAGGCTTTGGGGATAAATGGGTGGGGAGTGGGTGTGCAGACGCGCCCTCTCACCACCTTGCCTCCGGCTTCTTCCCCAAGGTGTCCTAGCTGCGCAGTGGTGTTCGGGGGTGTGAACTCCATCAAGTCCCACATCCAGGCCTCGCACTGCGAGGTTTTCCACAAGTGCCCCATCTGCCCCATGGCCTTCAAGTCCGCACCCAGCGCCCACGCCCACCTCTACTCCCAGCACCCCAGCTTCCTCACGCAGCAAGCCAAGTGAGACCTGTGGAGGGCGCGGAGGGGTGGAGCCAGGGCCACCCATCTCTGCCTGATGCCGCACTGTCCCCCCCGCCCCACAGGCTCATCTACAAGTGCGCCATGTGTGACACGGTCTTCACTCACAAGCCCCTCCTCACCTCTCACTTTGACCAGCACTTGCTGCCTCAGCGTGTCAGTGTCTTTAAGTGCCCATCTTGTCCTCTCCTCTTTGCCCAGAAAAGGACCATGCTGGAGCACCTCAAGGTACCAGAGCAGAGGGCCGAGCAGGGCTGCTCAGCTGGGCGGACCTGAGCTAGGGTCACAGCCCTCGGGAAGTGGGAGCTTTGCAAAGCCAGCTTCTCCCACAAGCAGCTGTGCCCCTGTCTCCCTCTTACAGAACACCCACCAGTCTGGGCGCTTGGGGGAGGAGATTGCTGGAAAAGGGGCTGGAGGCGCCCTTCTGACTCCCAAGACTGAGCCTGAGGAGCTGGCGGTGTCCCGGGGCGGGGCAGCCCCTGCCACTGAGGAGTCGTCCTCATCTTCAGAAGAAGAGGAACTGCCAAGCTCCCCTGAGCCACCCCGCCCAACCAAACGACCCAGGCGGGAACTGGGGAGCAAAGGCGTCAAGGGTGGGGGTGGGGGGCCTGGGGGCTGGACCTGTGGCCTTTGTCACTCCTGGTTCCCTGAGCGGGATGAATATGTGGCTCACATGAAGAAGGAGCATGGCAAGGTGAGTGGGAGCCTGGCCCTGGGGGAGGGGCGGGGGGGCAGCCTTGGGATTGGCCTGTGGGCCAGTGGGAATGGGGCCCCCCCAGAGCCTGGCTCTCACCTCCCACCCCCTGCTCTCCCAGTCGGTGAAGAAGTTCCCTTGTCGCCTGTGTGAGCGGTCCTTCTGCTCCGCCCCCAGCCTGAGACGCCACGTCAGGGTCAATCACGAGGGGATCAAGCGAGTGTACCCATGCAGGTAACCCCTGCTCCCCCTCCCTTCCTCCTGCCTGGTAGGTAACCCCACCTGCACCCCTGAACTTCCTAGGGTGCTCCCCACTTTCCCTTTGGCTGAGGCCTCCAATTGCTCTGGCAGCCATGGCCTCTCAGGAACCCCAGGCCCTTGGCTGTGTCCCTGGTGCCATCCCTCCCCCCTCTCCCCTCCCAGGTATTGCACAGAGGGAAAGCGCACCTTCAGCAGCCGCCTGATCCTGGAGAAGCACGTCCAGGTCCGGCATGGCCTGCAGCTCGGGGACCAGTCCCCTGGCCGAGGGGGTGCCCTGGCTCGGGGGCCTGGTGCCAGAGGTCAGGTAGGCAGAAGCCCGGCCTGCTGTGTTAGCCCACGGGAGCGGGAGGCTGCAGGGTTGGCTGCCAGGGACACGGGAGATGGTGAGGCCCGTTTCCTTCTGCTCCTCTTCAGGGCCCAGGACGGAAACGCCGCCAGTCTTCTGACTCATGCAGTGAGGAGCCTGACAGCACAACACCCCCAGCCAAGTCCCCCAGAGGTGGCCTTGGGTCAGGAGGCCATGGTCCCCTGCGCTATCGGGGCGGTAGCTCAGTTGAACAGAGTCTTGTGGTGGGGTTGAGGGTGGATGGTGGTGCCCAGCAGTGCCTCGACTGTGGCCTGTGCTTCGCCTCCCCTGGCTCTTTGAGCCGGCACCGTTTTATCAGTCACAAGAAGAGACGGGGTGTGGGCAGAGCCAGTGTCCTGGGGCTGGGGGATGGGGAGGAGGAGGCCCCTCTTCCGTCACGGTCTGACCCAGAGGGCGGAGATTCACCCCTGCCTGGTTCTGGAGGCCCACTGACCTGTAAGGTCTGTGGCAAGAGCTGTGACAGCCCTCTCAATCTCAAGACTCATTTCCGAACACATGGCATGGCGTTCATTAGGGCTCGGCAGGGGGGCAGTGGGGACAACTAGGCTGCCTCCCTGGGCTGACCAGCCCCTCCCTCTTCCCTGGGAGCCTGGATTTCACTGCTGCTGCTGCTGCTGCTGCTGCTGCCGGCCCCTGGGTTGGAGAGTTAAACTAATACACGTTTTGTTCACTTCTCCTCCTCCTAACCCTAAAGGAGAAAGCTTTTCAGGATCATAGTGATTTACAACCCCCCCCTTTGGGTTTGGCCCTTGGGCCCTAGTCAAGTGGGCCCTCCATTCCTTTCTGAACCCAACACTAATTATGCTCCTGCTGCACACCCCCAGTGTGCCACTGTGGGTAGGAGAGTGGGACTTTGGTAAGTCTGCTAGACAGGCACAGGGAAGGACTGATGGGAACAGGGGCCTGGACACACCCTCCAGTCCTTCAGGCACAGACTGAGATCTCTTCCTCTGGGCTGGGCCCACACTAGCACCCCCTCCCTGGCACTCCAGCCCCCACCCCTGCAGTGCCTTTCACTTGTCTTCTTTTCCCCCAGAAATCCAGAGGGGTTGGTGGGATGAGTCCTGTCGGGGGGCCCGGGGAGAGGAGGGGACAGGCTCTCAGGAATCCTTTATTCTTGTAGTAATAATAATACTAACATGGGAGAAAACCAGACCATTAAAACTGCTTGTGGTTTAATCCCCATCAGGCTTCTCTTTTTACTGGACTTGGTGGGAGGGGAGGAGTCCTCTGGGAAGCTGTGGTGTTGACCAAGACAGGCAGGGAGAAGCCATCCCCTCTTCTGTGGGGTGCCTTTTGTATCTTGGACATTGAGGCATCTGTTCACTCACCCCCAAAAAGGGAGAGACTCAGAAATGACACAGATGGCTAACTAAGGACTTTATTTCAAACAAAAAATAAAAAATTGAGAGCTGTTTCCCTGGGTATGAGGAAGGGATCAGGGGTAGGAATTCCCCATGGCTAGGTCAATACCCTCAATAACTGGAGGGATTGTAATTCCCCTTCTCAATCCCACTGATGGGGAACCTCAGCAAGTGCAGGACCCTGTGACAGAGCCCTCCTATCAAGGGGAACTCTGGCAGGGGTCAGTCCCTGGGAGAGTATCTAGAGTTGGGCAGCAGCATGGCCAAAGGCCAACCACAGGATCAAGTCCTAAGTACCAAGAGCCTTCCCTCTTCCTGGGACTCAGAACAGATAAGGGGCAGCCTGTGGAAAGAACCTCTCGGTCCCGGTGAGAGGGAGGAGGGCCAGGTACCCCTCGCATTCATCACCTCTATTCTCTGGAGGGCAGGGAGTCCTGGAACCTGTCAGATGGTAATACACAATGAGGGGCGGGAAGCCCCAGCAAGCCTGCACCCCATGGCCGGCTCCTCCCACCCTGGCAAGCGCTCGCGGTTACCACATGATCCTTTATATTTCTTGCCTTCCATTTCCCTTGGGTGGATGGTTGGGTAGATGGGGTTTCCTGGTTTGTGACTTCTCAGACAAGGGCTCTCCCAGGAGGGTACCCTGGATCCCCCCACCACTCTTAGGCCCAAGAAGGAGGGTGTCACATGATGCCATTGGTGAGGTACTGGAAGCCGTCGTAGAGTTTGGTGGTGATGGACCGCATGCTGCCATCCACCATCTGCTCCACCAGCAGCTGGAGTTGCTCCTCGGTCATGCTCATGTGGAACCTCTCTTTGAGGTTGCGGATGGTGCTGGAACCATGGAAGCAAGGAAGCTGAGAGCCTGGAGGGAAGAGTGGGGACTGAGGATCCCGGATAGGAAGGAGGTACAGTGGCCACCACCCCAGGAGCACAGGCAGGTACTCCTGAAGTGCCCCTTCCCTCCCCACTCGAGAGCTGTGGAGTCCGTTCTGTGCAGAGAAGAGGAACTGGTGGGAGGTCCTGTCTTGAGCTCATCTGCATCCCGTGCTTCTAAGCCCCTCTGTAGGTGAGGGTATGTGGGCAGAGGAGGGGAGAGGGCCATAGAAAGGGTTGAGGGAGCAGAATTGCGGGGCCCAAAAGGAAGGCCAGGAAGAAACTCGAGATGGGCCCTGAGCTGGGCACACTTATCTGGTTGCAGGCCTCTGCCTATGCTACGTCTGACACTCACAGATGACCTGGGCCACCGTCATCATGGGGCCAGACGGGGATGCTCCTGAGCAACGGCGACAACCTGTGGGGCAGGGGCAGGGGTGGGGAGGAGGAGACTGGCAGCTTAGATGTGGTATCCACCTGGAGCCTTGAGGAGGGGGGACAAGGACTGGGGCCCAGGGGAGCTCACAGGAGGGGATCCTAGGCAAGACAGTGGACATCGAGGTCGGACAGGGTAGAGGAGAAAGATGAGAAATTCAGCTCAGAGCAGGACAGGTGAATAGTGGGAAAGGAAGGCGGCCTGACATGGGGGAGCAGAGGCCAGGGCAAGCAGGTCAAGTGGAATGTGGAGGAAAGTCCAGTACGTAGAAACCCCTGAGTGGGTCAAGAGAAGAACCACGCACGGAGGAGATTGAGAGACTCGGTGGTAAAGGGATAGGGACATCAGAAGGACCAGGAGGCTACAAATGGGGCTCTTTTTTCCCTGAGGGTGCCAAGGAGGGTGTTTCTGCTGCCCCTTCTTCCTCCCAGGCCCAGCTCTGCCAGGGTCAGGAAGAGTGTCCTGGAGGAGAAATGGCACTGGATTGAGCTGGATCCCTCTCCCCCAACAACCAATTTGCATCTTGATATGGGAGTCCTAAGCTCTAGGGCCTCAACCTGAGTGGGGATGCGGAGGGTACCACAGGCCCCTGAGCTCTCCCCAGCCCACCTTGCTGCATGATCTCCACGATCTGCACCACTTTATCCATGTGTTTCCGAGCAGCAATCAGCCCTTGCAGCATCAGCATCTTATAGTAGTTGAACATGTCGCCATGCAGGCCACCCATCACCTGGGGAGGAAGAAGAGTGTGTGCACCACAGGACTATGGTAGGAGTGGTCCCTGTCCCGTGAGCCTTCCAGAAGTGCTGCTTCCTTTCCCAGAGCAATCATGCCAAACTCCACTGTTCCCCACTCGGGAAATCCTGCCTCACCCTGACTTACTGCCATTTCTGTTCTGTTCATCCCTAATTGGGGAGCGGGGAGGAGCCCATCAGCTCCCCCTGCCATGGCAGAGAAAGAACAGTGACCCTGAGGCGCCTCTGCTTCCTGACTCACATCCACAAACTCTGTGGTCAGCTTAAAGGCTGATGTCTCAAAGCCCAGGTTTCGGGGTGAGCTGGACAGGATGAAGCCAAAGTCGATGTGGATGATGTGGCCTTCTGCATCCAAAAGGATATTCCCATTGTGTCTGAAGAAGAGAAAAAGAGGAGAGGAAGAGTCATAGTAAGTCTTACTGGGACTGGATCTTTTTTGATCGATGCAATACCTTCATTTATCTATCTTTATGTGGTGCTGAGGACCGAACCTAGTGCCTCACACATGCTAGGTGAGTGCTCTACCACTGAGCCACAACCCCAGCCCCCTGAGACCAGACTTTAAAACGGCAACACACTGGCCATAGGACACCAGGCTGGGGCATCCCCTGCCATGTTTTCTGCTGCCTATAATCCTGAGTCCAGTCTCCTAGGATCTAAAGCTAGCAGTGAAAAGAAAGGAAGCAGAAGAGAGAACCACTAACAAAAGCTGGTGTCTAAAATTCCTATTATTAACAACTTAATGACAATATTTAGCAGAGCACAATGGCACACACCTGTAATCCCAGTGATGCAGGAGGCTGAGGCAGGAGGATCCACAAGTTCAAAGCCAGCCTCAGCAATTTAGTGAAACCCACTCCCAAAATAAAAAATAAATTAAAAGGGCTGGTGATATGGCTTCATAGTTAAATACCCCTGGGTTCAATCGCAGGTACCAAAAATAAGAAGTTTAGGGTTATCCCAATTTCCCAGAAATCTCACTTTTAGTATTCAAACTAGTCCCAATCTAGTAGAGAATCCAGAAGCAAGGAAATAAGGCCTGTGAGGCTCCAGCCAGCTGTCACAGAGGCCAGGCACTTCGCTGTGTAGGAAACCTCCATCAACCAATTAATCCACCTGTGTTTCATTTGTAATCCCTATCAGCCCACTGCAAATCAAGCCCCATCAGAAGAAACAACAATCAGTGGCAAGTAGACTCTGAAGTTTAAGTGTAAAATAGTGTGTGTGCTTCAAGCAGTTAAGTTTTAAATCATTATTTAAAAATCTCAAAAGGTGTCAGGCGCACAACTGTAATCTCAGTGATTTAAGAGACTGAGGCAGGAGGATCATAAATTCCAGGCCAGCCTCAGCAAAGTAGCAAGATCCTGTCTCAAAAAACAAAAAGGACTGGGGATGTAGTTATGGTTAAAAGCATCTGTGGGATCAATCTCTAGCACCAAAACACAAAAATCACCCCAGTAGGCAAGTATTGCAGGCCAGCTGTAGGGGAAGAAGAGTTGAAGGGAGGTAAAGCCCAGGTCTTTGTCATTCCCACTAGAATGGCCAGGAGAAAGAACAACTAACATGCTAAGCACTTGAAGCCTAGCCTATTCAGCACAACCAACCTTCTCACTGTCCAAAGAGCTCACAGTCTGTCTGAGGGTCACCTTCTCTGGGGCTGGTCTGACTGACCTAAACAGGAAGGACCAAAAGGGAGAACAAGTCCCACCTGAATCCTCCCCCTCTGGAAAAACATTAAAGATTTAGCAGCACCTGCACAACACTGAGAGCCAGAAAGACTATGAGATGTCTTGCTCCCTTTTACAGGTGAGGAAACAGCCCTGAGAAGTCAAATAACTGACTCGCTTCTTAAGATCCCAAGGCTAATTTCTCTCCTACACTAACTACCAGACTTGGCTCCAGGAGGAAAGCTGCTTGGAACTCATTTTGAAGTACAGAGATCTTAAAACCTGCTTCCAGACTGGGGGTCCGTTCATTGCTGCCACCTCTTTCCAGTGGCTGATTCCATTCATGGCTTGACTATATTCTTTTTTCTTAAAAAAAAAAAAAAAAAGCAGCTCTGGCAAGGTTAATTAGAGAAAAATTTTGCATGGTTTACTTTTCTGGGATGCTTGCACTGATGTCTGAATCATCTGGATCAATGACAACCAGTGTGCACACTCTGTAGTAGTTTCTGCACACTGTGTCTAATTTAATATTTTTATTGTCATGGTATTGATGGATACCAGTTTTGGCCAACATGGCACAGTATTTTTCTTCAGATTTCCTCAAAATTAGGCAGTTGCTGGTGAGGATGACCAATGCTTCACCTTGTCTGGTCATCTTGTACTCTGGCAAGTACCACTTTAAAAAATTGTTTCTTTCAGTTGTAGATGGACACAATACGTTTCTTTTTTTTCTTTTATGTGGTACTGAGGATGGAACCCAGTGCCTCACTTGTGCAAGGCAAGCGCTCTACCACTGAGCCACAACCCCAGCCCCTCAAGTACCACTTTTCCTATAGCAAGTGGGAGCCTAGAATTGATTGACTTCAGTCATCTTTTTCATTTTCTTTGTTGCCACCATGTTCCTGCCATAGGTGTAGGATGGCCGCCAACCATGAGCAGCCCTGCATCTACTCTGTTTGAAGTTACTAGGAACAGTTTCCCAGCTGCCTGCTCCCACACTCCTCCCAACTCCCCTATTAGAGGATACACTCTCATCTTCCAAACCTACCCGTTTCCTAAGGGAAGGCCCTGAGGCCTGACTAGAGCCAGCTTCCCTGCCACCATGTACTCAATGCTGGGGCTGAACCCTAGGTTCTCCAGGGCATGGGCTCAGAATCTGGATGTTTCCAGGCACAGTCTAAAGCTGGCAACCAAGTTCCTTGGGATCACATTCCCCAGCAACTGTCAAAGGCAGCGCTCGTGTTGGTTCGTTTGTAGGGTGGAAGGGCAGAATGAGCACAGGTTCCAAGAGCTACCCGACCCTTACTTCCCTCATGAGGAAACACTTGTCCAACAAGGTTTTCATCTGGTTTAAATGTAAGAATGTAGGGCCATGGCAGGCGTTGTGATGTCAGATTTCTCTGTAGCTAATCTTAATAGGCCACCATGTCACCAGGAGCCCTGGCAGCATAGGCCACTGCATTTCTTTTTTTTTTCTTTTTCCTTTTATTTATTTATTTGTTTATTTTAAATGGACAGAATGTCTTTGTTTGTTTATTTTTATGCTGAGGATCAAACCCAGTGCCTCACCCACATGCTAGGCAAGCGCTGTACCACTGGGCTACAGCCCCAACCCTACATTTCTTTCTCTGTGCCCAGGGAGAGCTGCAACTCACAGAAGCATTTGGGGCATAGACCCCAAGTCACTGTCTAGAGACACTCTGAGAAGGCAGGTCCTCAGTGTTGTAATTATGTGCAATATGTACTTAACCTATATATGTGTATGTATACTAACTCTGTGTAGTTAGGCCTTATAAAATCATGTGAAACTGAGAGAAATAACAGTTCTGGGCAAAATAGTGGGTGCTTAAAAGTTGTGAAAAACATCTGTTGGAATGAGAGATAAGGAGTGTTCATTGGCTAGGAGTTTCAACTTCATCTTCTCCATGTTCCTCATGTCCACCTTCTCCTTTCTATTCTCAGCCACTACCACTTCCCTCACTTTTGCTCAGTGCCTCACTTTTGCTGAGGCTGGCTTTGAACTTGTGATCCTCTTGTCTCAGCCTCCCGAGCTGCTGGGATTATACAGGCGTGCGCCACTGTGCCTGGCTACAGTGAAGGCTTTCTTAATTTAGCCTCAACATACCTGTCTGATGTCACTGCCTGCTCAACCTTTAATCCCCTTGAAATATTTTCTCACCTGGGACATATTTCCTCCACAGCTTTATCTGTCTTCATTCTCCCTGTCCTTTCAGTCCCTATTCATTCAAACCTTTACTCCTCCCATAAATCCTACATTCCTATGCTCTTTCACCCTAGGATTTGTCAGCATCCTCCTTGGCTCAATGTCACATGAATACATCTGTTTCTATTGAAAATACATCGTTTGTTTCTATCAATGGAGAATTATGTATGAAGGGACACAGCAGACCCTGGTGCAGAACTAGGATGAGGGCAGAGGACCCATACCTGTCCTTGACTTGCAGCAGGTAGCAGACCAGACAGTAGCCAGCACAACTTTGCACAAAATTACGCTGGGCACTGAGGAATGCCTCAGTGGTGTAACTGCCATGCTCCTGTAGGAAGTAATCGAGCAGCGAGAGCTGAGACTGTTTCTTTACTTGGTGGATGGACACAGCATTGACCACTGGTTCAATCATGCCACTGTCGGCCGAAATCACAAGAATCTTGTATGGCTTGATCCAAAGGGGCACTCGCTCCTGTTCCCAAATGGACTGTGAGGAGACACAGAGGTATCAGACTCTCATCTTTCTCCAAACTAGAGAGAAGGCTAAAATCCCTCTCTCCAGTACCTCTCTCCTCGGTGGCCTTGCATTATAGGCCATTAAGTAAGACTCACAGATCGAATGAGGACCAGGAAGTTTTGAAAGGACATCTAGGGCCTGACAGGAAGCTATACTTAAGAGGTATATGGGGAAAGGTTCTTATAGGTACAAAGTCCAAGAAATGATAGAATAGGAAATATTACTGTCACCTTACAAGCAGGGAGAGTGGGAACTATTAGTGTAAGTTCAAATAATAATAATAATAATAATAAAAAACAGGAAAAAATTTAGGACCAAAGAAATCTCTAGAAAATAAAAATATTGACATAAAGAACTGGATTAAAGGGCTGGAGATGTGGCTCAAGCGGTAGCGCGCTCGACTGGCATGCGTGTGGCCCGGGTTCGATCCTCAGCACCACATACAAACAAAGATGTTGTGTCCGCCGAATACTAAAAAATAAATATTTAAAAAATTGTCTCTCTCTCTCTCTCAAAAAAAAAAAAATAAATAAAATAAATAAAGAACTGGATTAAAGTGGTGAAGCTCTTTGCAGACAACCAACCCAGGGGGCTCAGGGGATCAATATCTCGACACACTATAACGCGCCCACCACAGGCCATTTAGGAAGTTCTGATGTAAAGGACAAAACAAGGCACCTTGACTTTCAGTGGTCACAACAGGGCAGGTGCAGTTCACCAAAACAGCCAACAGAGGCCGCTGTGGAGCTGTTCCTGTGGCTGCATTTCCCAGGGGAAAAAGCACCAACTTTAGCACCCTTGGGCAAGAAGCTGATCCCCAGGAGAGCTCCCTGCAGAACAACCTGTGTGGTCTCTCAGGTGGCTATCTTTCTTCTTCCCTTTCCTTACCTGCAGTTGTTTCAACACCTGGAAGGCCAGCAGCTCCTGCCGAAGGTCATCTCCACATTTGACAATGACTGACAGGAGCCGCCAATTGGGGAGATGGCCATAGGGAGAGCCTTCTCTGATCCTCCTGTTTAGGAAGAAGTAAAGGGTGTCATAGGGTGATGCCAGGGTGAGGGCTTAAACTCCCTGGAAGTCTGATGAAGGTTTTGGAGGCTGATGGCCAACAGAGGTGGTGCTGTGAGCGCCAGCAGTGGCCTTGAGACCACCCTACTCACCGTACTTTCTCCTGCCAGGGCTCTTTGAGAGCAACTGCAGAAGGGTCTTCTGGGTCTCGCTTGAAGGCTGTGGGGGTGTGAGCCAGCTGTTCAGAAAGGCGCCGTCTAGCAGGAAGAAAATACATCCATTGCTGGGAGGAGCGCCCCCAGAGCCTGATGCCCCTGACTCTGCTGGTACTCTCTCTACAGTTCTGGATTCTGGATGTACAGACAGAGAGAGACTCACAGGAGGAAGCATAACTAGTTATGCTACTCGAGTAGTCTGTGATCATGTTAAAACGAATGGGCGCTGGGGTCGTAGCTCACTGGTGAAGCGCCAGCCTAGCATGTAGGAGACACTAGGTTCTATCCTTGGCACCACATAAAAATAAATAAATAAAGGTATTGTGTCTATCTACAACTAAAAATGAAGAGTTCCTGGCTCTTCTCATTCCTCTACCACAAGACTGACAGAATGAGCCTAACCCCAGAATCTGCATTTCTGCAGATTCCCTCTGACTGTGATGCACGTCACCATGAGACCCCACTTTGAGAAACACTGCTTGAATTCCTTTCTTGGGTGCTGTCATCCCCTTGGGATCCTCTTAAAGTAATATAATTTTCTGTAGTCACCCAAGCAGTGTTTCAACCTGCACTTTCACTGACTCAAGTTTGATGGCCTCAGGACAAGGACAGAATAAGGAAAGAAAAAGGAAAGACAGGCTGACAGCAGGTGCTAAAGAGAGAGGAAGGAGACAGAGAGAGGCAACGACTGAAAGAGGGATTAAAAAAATGAGTGCAGGGCTGGGGCTGAGGCTCAGGCTCAGTGGCAGAGCGCTCGCCTAGCATGCGTGAGGCACTGGGTTCGATCCTCAGCACCGCATAAAAATAAAATAAAGGCTTTCTGTCGATCTGCAACTACAAAAAAATTTTTTTTTTTAATGAGTGCAATGTGATCTGGTCATACCGGATATCCCCTGCTGCAATGAACACAGGCTCCTTGCTCTCCTGGCTGGTGATGCTGTCCACGGAAAACTGGGAGATGTTGTCACAGCTGTTGGTGTGCACTTCAGGGAGCTGAGGAGAGCAGGGGAGCGCTGGTCAGACGTGCAAAGTGAGCACAGATCCCTCTCTTGTCTCCTGCTTGGTTGCCATTGCCACGGCATGCGCAGCCCTCCCTTCCAGAGTCCTCACAAAAGCCTCCCCTCTTACGGACCCCAAGCAGATCATGACTACTTGGACTGCAAGGTGCCGCGGCACTCACATGGGCCCCATAGCAGTGTTTCTCAAATAGTGAACTACCTGCGTCAGAATTAGCGGAGATGCTTGCTGAAATGCAGATTACAAGGCCTCGGCATTGGTCTGAATTAGAACTGTTGGGGATGAAATCTGGAAGTATGGAATTTTAACAAGTTCTCCAGATTTCCAACACACTAAAGTTTGCAAATCATTGCCATGACCTCATGGAAACTTGAACTTTCAGTATCATACTGAGAGCCCCCTACAGTTAAACATTCCACCAGGCCTGAAGGCCCGTATCAAGTCCGATATCAAGTCTCTGTACCAGAGCACTTCTGTACTCCATTTGTCACCCAGTACACAACCCTATGCATCCTTTCTTCTTCTGTGGTAATAGGGATTGAACCCAGGGGTCTTCTACCACTAAGCTACATATATGTATGTTCAAAGACAAAGATTCTGTCTTTTTCATAGAATGGCTCTATGTAATCCTGCTCTTGCTCCCTAGAATCCCAGAATAAAATTTCTTTTCACAGCTGACAGGATCCTGCCTAACCAACTCTCCAGCCTTATTCTAGCTCTACAAATTTTCTTTAGTTCTTATCAGGAGCCAAGCTCTCTCTCATCTTCTAGTCTTTATATGTACTTCTTCTGCCCAAATGTTTTGTCCAGCTAATCCCTACCATGCTTCCAGCCTCGGCTGAGAGATTACTTCCTCCAGAAAATCTTATGACTCCCTCCCCAAGTCTGGAGTAAGCACAACCTCCCCCACTGGGTGCTCTCCTAACACCCCGTCCTCCGCAGGCACCACAACCTGGATCACATCTCACTCTAACTTCCTGCTTCCTAGTCTTGTTCTTTCCCCTGTTAGTTCACAAACTCCCTTGTTTACTAGTATATAGCACTTGGGTCTGGAATGAGAGACTGTGTGACTTACCACTCTCTGTTCTCCTAAGTCAACTTTATAGAGCAGCTGTTCTTCAATAAATATTTTCATTAAATTTTCCTCATTACATTAACTTGCATTCCTTTTGTGGGAGAATGAGCTCTACCTAAGTATCGTCCAGACGGCTGCTCAGAGCATTCGCCTCACACTACTCATGCCATTCATTTGGGCACGTGCCTCACCTGCCAGGGGGTTTGTTATCTTGTCTCAAATATATCGAAGCTTGTGGAGAATAGGTGCTGTGCCCTAGGGTTACCTCCTTGGAGCTCCCTCACCTCCACCTGCAGCTCGCCTATGTCATCCACCGACCAGGCTTCATCGTCATTGTCATAGTTGGGCACAGTGCTAAAGCTGCCAGCCCGCTGCTCGTGGGTGATGCCACATTCAGGCAGGTTCTCTACAGATCGTGTGCTCCGAATTCGGTTCTCAGGGATTCGGGCGGGGACACTGGTGGTGTCGAAGTTTTCACATTCAAGGACTTCCACGTAGATCAGGTAGGGAGCCTGACGTGGGGAGTGAGGACAGGATTTGTAGCTTATCTCCACAACTACCTCCCAAATCTCAATACCACGTTCTTCCTGTTGCACTGCCCAGCCCCAACCTGCATTCATCATCAGTCCCTTAATACTATGGACGCCATATTTTTAGGGCAGGAACTTGTCATATGATTACCTATGTAAAGAATCTGGTAAGAGAGTATACAAGTTTTTCAAATTTTCAGTTGGGCTTCAAAATGCAGTCAATATGGTTGGGAATAACTCTTCCAACTATCAACCGCAGCTTGTAAGAGAAGCCTAGAGGTCTCTGTGGGGTTGTCCTAAAGACAGGGCCAAAGGAGCTGCTGTGGCAAAGACTGGATAAAACTGGGCATTGTCCCAAGGAGGATTCTAACCTTCAATGCTTCCTCTCAAAGAAAAATCTGAACCATCATTACTCACTTCAATCAACAAATTCGGCTAATTCTCTCCAGTATGAATTGGGCATCCTTCTCTCCTCCCTGCCCACTCTGATCAGAAAAGGTCTTAGAAACAAAACATTTCACTACCATCATGATTGCTGTATCTGGACAGCCCAAGAGAGTTATAGGAGGGCTGGAGAAGAGCTACCAACATGACTGTAAGGAGTGGGTGGGGAGAGTAATTCCCCTAAAATCCAGCAAGAGGTGAGCAGAAAATATCAGGCTGCTTTGACCCAGAAAAGGAAAGTCCAAGAAGGGTATGACAGGAGGAGGACTCACAGGATCTTTACAGCACTGAAGAAGAATCATGGCTGACACATGCAATTAATTATGAACTATGCAAGATGTCGAAGATGTGTTAGGCGAATCCCTGTGCATGTACACAAACTCTGGACAATCATGGGGGGAGAATCATATCAGAGTTAGGGCTTGGGCCAGAGTCTACCTACCTTGTCCTTGGAGTTGAGGACAACAGCCTGTGTGTGAGGCACGCGGACCACGTGGTGGTCAAAGCCAGCAGTAGGCAGCCAGACTCGGGCAGGGAGCTTATGGTTGAGCAGGGAGAGCTCTGAGATCAGCCGCTGTGTTTTCTGCTCTTTGGTGGGCAGCGTGGCCAGCCGTTTTCCAATTGCCATTAGGGACTTGATGAATTCACGCTCAGGGGCCAGTCGGACAGGCTACAGGAGGGTGGGATGAAACAAAATATGGTGAGGAAACCTTTAAAAAAAAAAGTGGCCCACCCCTCAATCTCTCCTGGCCACACAGGCCAGGGACCCCAGCATTTGGGGAACTCTAGGAAGAAGGCTACCTTTTGGCCATGGCAGGAGATTTCACCCCACTGTTTCTGTGTGAACTGACAATAGCCAGAACGTTCCGTTTTTGTGTGCTACTTCTTGAAGGTATATGGGGCCAGGATCCTAGTTATTGAGAAGTACCCCTCCTCTTATTGAGACCCTCAAGTAATGTCTCAAGGTTTTAAGATGGGAAGGGGACATCTGGAGGTCAGTCAGGGCCCCAGACAGAACTGCTTACATCTAAGGTGCTTTACTCAAGGCTGTACCTCTCCCCATCTGGACCCTGGGCTGGATCTCTGCTGTGGGACTCTACCAAAGCCCACAGGCTGGGCAAGGGAGCTTGGAGAGCTCTGCTGGGGTCCACAAGGGTAAGGAAGGAAGCTTCAAGTCAATTTCTCCTTTCAAAGTCATCCAAATGACTCCTGTTGCTTTCCATGGTACCCCATGCCCTGTCCACCCCACAGTCTCTTACAAGGAATCAATGCCATGCAGGGCATGAGAAGAGGATGAACAAATCTGCATTAATGAGGGCACAATCATGGGAAAAGAAAAAGCAGACTGTGGGGCTGGAGTTGTGGCTCAGTGGTAGAGCGCTTGTCTAGCACAGGTGAAGCACTGAGTTCAATCCTCAGCACCACATAAAAATAAATAAATAAAATAAAGGCATTGTGTCCATCTATAACCAAAAAAAAAAAAAAAAAAGCAGAGGGAGGGAGGTGTGTGTAGGAGGATGGAGAAAGAAAGCAATTGCTCTTTTTTTCAGTCCTGAGGACGGCCCTGAAGGCCTGTCTCTAGTGATTCCTCCTGGGGTCCTCTTCCTCTACTTCTCGCAGCTAGGCTTCCTGTTCCAGTACCCTGCTGTGAGCTGGGCTCCTCAGACTGGGCATGTTAGTCATCCCCAGAAAGGGCACGGTCAGTCTGGGGAGTGAGGTGGGAGAAGATGCACTCAGCGGCACACACAGAAGTGCTCTGCTCCCGGTCTCACTTCTTCTACCACAGGGGGCATTTATTCAAGACAGCCACCCAACTAGCCACCCAGCTCCCCAGCCCACCTCCCCACAGCTGGATAAGGATGGTGTCTCCTCCTCTTACAGCAAATAGTAGTTCACTCACCAGGTTTTTCTCTCCCTTTCTGAGTGTGTCTTGCTTAGTTTCCTGATTGAGAATCTCTACCCTGACTCCCTCACACTGCAAGAAAAAGAGCTTCTTTTGAAAACTGGGAAGTATCTGGTCTGCCTGGGCATGGGCGACAGCCAGAGTACAGAGGATCAGCTCTTTTCTCAGCCTCCACCCATGATGGGAGGAGGTGGGCGGGCTTAGAGCACCATGTGGTAATGTAACAGGGTGCTGAAATCCCTCAGGAATGCTTTAGGAGCAGGGTTAAAAAGAGACAAAAGGAAGACAACAGAATTGGGTTTCTATGGCCCCCAGATATATCCTGGTGGCTTAACAGAAAAAGAAAACAGGAAGTTTGAAGACTCACTCCTTCATCCTGATCCCCTAAACCATCCACTCAGGTGGCAAGTGGTCACTGTCCCAAGGACCCTCTACCCAACCAATTTAAAGTCATCTCAGGTTAGAAATGGCAGAATTTCTTCCTATCCTCAAATCAGCATTTGAGCTGGGGGCCCCCAAGTTCTGTGAGCATTGGAAACGTTACCCCAGGCCTCCAGAGAAAGGCTCTGCTGCATGGGAGGAGATAGGAATCATGGTTGAAAGGGGATTGGCACAGAACATAGAAAACTGATTGGGTAGACAAACAGAAAATAAAATGTAAAAAAATCATCCAAACTCCCAGAGGGTCCAGCATTTCCTCTCACGTCTTTGCCCAGCAACAAGGTCCAAGACCCTGTGGGACCAGAGGGTCAGGGGTTAGTCCAGAGGGAGCAAGAAGGAGAATGGGGATTAAGGAACATCCTGGGCAGTGAGCTGGGAAAAGGGGAGAATTCCGACCTGGAAAAAAGGTGGTTGATGTTAAAAAGAAAACGAGCTGTGGAGAGGTAAAGCTTCCCTTCAGGCCAAGTCCTGTTTGCTTTTGGAGTGGAATCACCCAGCGCGGGGCCTAGCATTTAGAACGCTGAATAAATATTTAATGGTCTGATGGCAAAAGCCATGGGGAAAGGGTCTGGGTGGGAGAAATGGGGTCCTGGGGGCTTCTGCCAAGCAGTTCTTGGCTCTGATCCAGGAGTAAACTCTACCTCTCTCCCAGCTGTTTGCTCCAGAGACCCAGGAGCTGGGGTAGAAGAGCACAGCAGCCCAGCTGTCTCTGAGAGGAATACACTGAGCTCATCTTAGTATGGCCTGGCATTGGCAGGAAAGGTCAGGGAGACTTCTCCGTGTCTGGGAGGGAGAAGCCTCAGAAATCAAAGGGCCTCTGAACTCCAGCTTTGGCCTGGGGGCTCTGAAGACCTGGGACGGGAGAGGAAATGCGGCCATGGGGGGAGCCTGCCACCCGTCCCAGCCTGGCCCCACTTACGGAACTGAATGGATTATCAATACTCTCGGTGCTGGAGGAGAACTCCTGGGAAGGGCCAGAGGGCAAAGGGGAAAAGAGGGGGCAGGGTGGAAAGGGGGAGAGACAAAGGCAAAGAGTTTAGCTCAACTCGGATCATAACGGCTACTCCTGTGCAGCTCTACCTTTCTGCTTTAATGAACAAGAGACAACCCAGAAATGTCACTTGCCCAGATTAGACACTTGTGGGAGACGCTAGAAGGCCAGCTCAGAACTTGAGGTCAGAAAGGCTGAAGAAACAGGCATTGCTTGTTTTCCACTATAGTCCCTTTGATTCTTTTCTCTTTTTTTTTTTTTTTTTGAGCGAGCGGGGTATTGGGAACTTAACCTAGGCATGCTTTACCACTGAGCTACATTCCCTTCCCTTTCTATTTTATTTTGAAACAGGGATTCACTAAGTTGCCAAGGCTAACCTCAACTTGCGATCCTCCTGCCTCAGTCTCCTGAGTAACTGGGCTTATAGGTGTGCACCACTACACCCAACTTGTTCCCTTTTATTCTTGCCTGAATGAATCTCTTTTTCTTTTTCTTTTTTTTTTTTTTTTTTTTTTGGTACCAGGGATTAAACCCAGGGGCAGTGAACCACTGAGCCACATCCCCAGACTTTTATATTTTTCATTTTAAGACAGGGTCTCACTAAGTTGCTTAGGGCCTTGTTATATTGCTGATGCTGGCTGTGAACTTGAAATCCTCCTGCCTTAGCCTCCCAAATTGCTGGGATTACAGGTGTGTGCCACTGCATTTGGCCTGAATGAATCTTCCTTTTAGGATGAAACCCTAAAGCTGGGTCCCTAGGTAAGTAACTACACTGCCAACCTTCCCTGCTCTTTGTCTCCACCCATGGATCCACTCTGTGGATTCCCACAGAGAGACTGGATTCAACTCACTGCACAACCCCCACATTGGAAACCCCATGTTTTTTCAGCCTCTCAGAAATCTCAGTGGGGAAGAAGAGCTAAACCTTCAGTGCCTAGTATATGTGTGTATCTCCTTTTCAATCAGACTCATTATCACCCTGGGAAGTCCAATAACAACTTGAACCCAAAGTCATCCCAGACTCATGAACCTGAACCCCTTGGGCTGGAGGCTGGTGGAAGTGGAGGACAGGTCAGTCAGGTCAGTCTCATATCAAATGTCCGTAGGCTTCTTATCAGGTTATTGCACTTGACACTCAATATGTTACAAATTTTTGACTTAAGTTTGAGAGTCAGGTACTAGCTAAATTCACCTGAGAAAGCTGATTAGCTGAGGCAGCACCTCTGTGAGTCCCAGTTTGGGGAAAAATCTAAACTTTTCCCCCATTCTTGTGTCTTACTGCTGTCTATGAACAAAACAGGGGACAGGAATGGTGGTCAAACTCTCATTCTGCAGCTCTGATACCACAGGGCTAGCGTGGGTTCTACCCAACAAGGTCTACCAAGGCAAGGAGCATGGGGTGCACTGTATGCAAACATGCAGGAGGGGAGGGGCCTGGACTTCAGAGGCAAACTCCTGAGAGCCCCCAGGGAGGAGGGCAGTGAACCCTGAGCTTCCACTCTGCAACTGGCATTTCAAGCACTGACTTAACACCATAACTTAAGTTCTACTCCAGCAGGGGCTCCCATAGGCAGGTCTTTCCTTGAAGAACTCTTTTAAGGGAGAAGTCACACTTGGACACACTCCCCTGAGGCCACAACTCTTCCACTGTGGGTAAAAGTGGGAGGGAGAACTGAGGCAGTGAGAAGGCCAGAATGATTCAACCTCTCCCCATGAACTGGCTGGGGAAGGGGCAGCAGGCAGGACACTGGCTCCATGAACGCTCTGTGGACTCTCTCATAGACAGGTCCCAGCAGACTCATTAACAGCGTTGGGGGAAAGGAGGTGCATCAGGACCTGCTCTCTTCCTGCTCCTGGGCTTGAGTCATTCACACTGAGTCAGCTCCAGGGAGTAAAGCTCAGGCCAAGAAGCTGACATCACACCGTATCAGGCTAGAAGGCCCACTGGGCTTCCAGGATGACAACTAACAGATTTCTGTGTACAAAGGTCGCAGTCCTGAAGACAAAGTTGATCTATTTAGAGTGTCATTATGTAGGGCAGGGTGTGGGGTGGGGGGAGTACCCAAATCATTCTCTGCTCCCTATGCCTCTCTCTATGCCAAAAATATTTTATCATTTGGTCACATGGGAAGAAAATCTATCTGTGCAGGGGTCTCGGAGGAGGCTGATAAAAACTGGGTTTGGAGGAAAATGGTGGGAGATGAGAGAACTGAGTGCTAGGTCCACTGTTTGGAGTATAAAAAATTCCTCATGAAAAGATAATGGAACCTTCGGTGAGATCTGGCCAGAGCTCTGCAGATAGACCACAGGCAGGAGAACAGAGCTTCCTCACTGAGGCTCACTTCACCCTCTGGCACTTCTCCATTGCAGAAGATTATACTCAGAAATCAAACGGAAAGTAGAGCTGAGCACCATGGCACACTTCTGTAATCCCAGCAACTCAGGAGGCTGAGGCAGGAGGATCCAAATTCGAAGCCAGCCTCATCAATTTAGCAAGGCCCTAAGCTACTTAGTGAGACCCTATCTCAATATCTTTATTTTAGTTATTTTTATGTGGTGCTGAGAATCGAACCCAGTGCCTCACATGTATGAGGCAAGTATGCTCCACCACTGTGCCACAGCCACAGCCCCTCCCTGTGTCAAAATAAAAAATAAAAAAGGCCTGGGGGTGTAGCTGAGTGGTAAAGCATCCCTCCCTAGGTTAAATCCCCAGTACAAAAAAAAAAGAGTGTCAGGGCCCACCTAGAGATTCTCCTTCTAGAATGTCAGTGCAACACTTAGAAAATTCTGTGCTTCACTTTAGTAAGGTGTCTACTTACTGCCTATGCACAGTTAACAACTTTCAAGTCACAAACTAACCAGTTACCTTAGATACTGCGGTGTTCTGCAATTCCTAGAGGAAAGAACACATTTTATCCTCTACTCTTTGCTGACTTTCAAACAGGGCTTTGATGATGTACAAGATTAGTAACGCCTTGTTGAAGGAATGACTGAATGTTGCATGACAGGGAGGAGGACGGACAGAAGAAGGAAAGCCGTTTCCTTTCCACTGGGGAACACGGCCTGGATAGACATAACCTCAAAATGTCAGAGGGGTTAGAAGAAACCCCTGTGCTGAAGACTTGCCCAGTGTTTAGAAACCCAGCAATATTTACATTTATCCCATCCCCGCCTTGCGCTCACATTTCCTAAGGAGCCACAGTAGACAGGTGTCTCATTCTGCCAGCATCAGATAATGATTACCCAGGAGAGCCTGGGAACATGTTATCTCTTTCCTTTCCTGGATCTTAGTGACCCAAGATAAGAAGCCAGGTTAGGAAGAATGGCAGCTGGAGAACCCACCCCAGAGATTTAAGCACTCACAGAACACCTGCCTTTCAGAGCCTCCCATCATTTTAGAGCAGAAGTTAGACGCAAGGAAGAAGGATCAGGACCAGTGCAAGGAGAAAGCCCTACAGCTTCGGCTTTTCCTGGTCCTACGATGAGGTCTACAGAGTGGATACAGAGAAAAGCCAAGCCTGACAAGAGTATCAAGGAATTCATTTCTGCTGCTCACACCCATAATGCCCAGGCTGGACCCCCAAGATGAGGCAGCTCTCAAATCCTTCATGTCCTTAATTTCACCAGAATCTGGAGGATTCTTCTTGCTCTGCCACAACCTTTCTTCATGGACCCTGAGATCTGCTGCCAAGCTCAAACAAAAATGAAAATGGTTCATTCTGGTCTGAGAATAGTTTAGGCTTTGTCTGTGAATAGATGTGGAAGTGTAGGTGGCCACAGCACAGCCCTTCTTCCCAATGGCCTCTGATAGCTGAGACCCGAGGAAGAAGGTCACCCACCAAGGCAGCTCAGCTGAGTGATTATGAGCACAAGCCGTGATCTGGGTCCTGGTCTGATATTCACCAGTTGACGCCTTAGGCAAATCATTTAACCTCTCTAAGCCTCAGTTTCCTCGCTGGTAAAATAATATATGCTGTTAGGGTTGTTGTGAGGATTAAATGTCAAAAATCTGGCATGATGCCTGGCACATAAGTGCTCAATAAATGTTAGCACTTTTAGCTTTACGATCCCTGCATGATCTTGATAAAATACCACATTTTCAGAGACAGCAGGCTCTGCAGTCTCCCCTCCCCCCTGCTTTTCTCTTCCCTCGTCACTGTGACCTTCCTCTACTTGGAAGAAGCCCTACTGTATTGACAACGTGGGTGGGTTATGCCCCACGGAGGCAGATGCCAGCACTGTGGCTATGCACATTTTCCAACAGTGCAAATTCCTCATTTTTTTCCTCCCTTCTTTTCTAGACTGGGCTGGCAGCCAAGATGGGAGGCCGGCCAATGGCAAATCAGAGAGGAAGACTGGGGCACCATTGTCTAGCTGGGATACCAGGTCTCTGAACTTGGTTGTCCACTGGGCAACTTTCCCTTGTTATCTGTCCAGATGTGGAGTGGTCGGTGACCATATCCTACTGATGTGCGCATCTCCTCCCTGTTCTGTATCGCACACCCCCAACTGCTACTCAGCTTCGTTTTCTTCCAGCCTCAGGTCCTGGACTAGGCACTAAGACTTACTGCTTCTCTTGTCCCTTTGTGCTTCTCCCAAATGATACGATATGGGAAAGACACTAGCAAGGAACTCTACTGCAGGCCAAAGAACCCCTGAGATGCCTCAGTGATATGGAATGAAGCTGATCCTATGTTGTCAATAAAAAGCAGGCTCTTCAGGGCATAGGGGAGAGGGATTATGAAAAGGAGTGGCCAGGAGAATGAAGCTGACATTCTATTTAACATCCTCCCTCCCCCAGAACACACAAAAGCCACAGCCCCTTCTCCTTCCCTAGGAGTGCGGCTCTGAGAGGCTCTGGTAGCATTCAGGTCTCAAGCCAGGGGGAGAGGGTCTCCTCCAGTAAGTATGGAGTTAATGCACGGCAGTACAGTCTAGTAAAGACTCTGTGGACAGCCAGGGGCCTTACTATCAGCTATACGACCTGAGGCAAGTCACTTTATCTCTGAGTTCCCCTGTAAAAGGAGTCAGTTGGAATACATGAATTCTAAGGCTTTTTTCCATTCTAACATTCCATTCTTTTATCAGTGAAATGAAACAGAGGAAAGGACAGAAAGGATAGAGTAACCCCATGTAGGACATCCTATCTCCGTGCAGCCCTCTGCCAACCGGCCTTTCTGTACCTCCCCACAGCTTTACCTCATCCTCATTCTCCACTTTAGGGTTGCTGGCTGTTCGTTTCAGGTTGCTGCTGAGACTTATGCTGGCGGTGGCATCTGACTTAGACCGCTGGTGAGTCCTTTTGGAGGGAGACAGCCCGGTATCAGGGGCTGGGCTCAAGGAGGGAAGTTCCCTCTTTCGGTGAGCTGGCTTCAGCTCATCTGAGAGGATTAGCTTCCGTAACTTGGTCCCACGGGAGTGTCGTTGAGTGGAAATGTGCATGTCTGAAGAGTAAGCCCCAAGCAACAGGGCACACTGGAGGGAAAAGTTAATGCTCTGGCGACAACGGTGGACGATATAGGGCTTAATGGCATCACCCACGTCCTCATCCATGTGGATGTACATGTTAAGCAACTGGGGCAGATAGAAGTCCACATCCTCATTGCGAAAGCAGAAGAGCCGGTTGCCGATGTAGGCTTGCACTCCAGGCTCCTTGGAGTTATACAAGTATGAAATAGCCATGGAGATGTCAAATAGTTTTGACTCAAACAGCCTCAGCAGCCAAGATTGTTTGGCTGAGTTGTTCTGCCGCCGCCTTCTTGCTCCTTTGGCTGTGCTTGAGGCCACAGTGGCCCCCATCTCATCTTCCTCCTCTCTGATCTGGGAAGGCGGGTCGTCTAGGCAACGGATCTCACTGTCCACACCATCCCCATTGACCAATTCCAGTGGGGTGCCTCTGCTAGAGACAGCCATGCCTCCATGCAAAAGCTTGACTTTCTCCAGTACCTCCTGGCAGGCCTTCTGGGCCACCTCAGGGTCAATCACTGATAGTTCCCCGACCCCCTCTGTGATGACGCTTAGCAAGGAGCCCCCATTATTCCCTGGTGGGCCAGGAGTAGGCTCGGAAGTTGGATTCAGGGGGGCAGATTCCACTACCGTGTCTCCCATGGCTACAGCCAGACTTCAAGCTTCCAAGCTACAGGAGGGAGGGAGGGAGGGAGGGAGAGAGGCAGAGAGAAGGAGGGAGGAACAGAAAGGGAGACATATACACACTGGTTAGTGGTGCCCCTCAGATCTTCCCTTCACCATGAAACCTCCCCAGGCACCTCCTCTGTCTGTCTTCCTGGACTCCTTCAAAATCAGAACAGTCATCTCCTCCCAGGGAGGCTTCCTTCACTGTCTCCACTTCTGATCACTGTGTTATTCTTCATTCCTTCTGCACTTAGTTACTCAGCTTAGCCTCACTTCTTAGCCTGTTCTTGTGAAATGTTGCTTGATATGCATTGTGTTCACACAGGCTTACAAATGCCTCAGGGAAAATGAGTAGCAATATGAGTCTTATTCCCTTGTTCTTAATTCTCCAAATAGTTTTCCGCCCTCTTCCTCTTCTTGTGTCCCCCTTCAAAAGCCTGTCATAACTTTTTCTTCCCCTCCTTAAATTTTATTTCCTTACTCATATGACAAATCACACAGGGTCCTATGCATCTCACCTCTATTTAGTGTTAAAGTCTTGATATATTTTTCTAGTTACAGATACTTTCTTACCTTCCCTTTTAGACTCAAAGCTCCCAGGGAATAAGGGCCAGCAAATACCATGCCATGCTTAGTTTAGAAGAAAACAGCTCTAAAACAAGCATCATCAACCCCGCTGAAGCTGGGCCATTTCTTTGCTCGTCTGGGTTCATGACTGCATACCCTTTCTCCAGGGCTGTGGCAGCTGAAGTACAGTGGAAAGAACCCTGGACTTGGAGGCAGATAGGCTGGGGTTCAGATTCTCACTCTGCCTTTATGAGATGTACAGACTTATGCAAGCCACGTATCTTCTGAGTTTCAGTTTTCTCAACTGCAAATTGGGAAAAAAAAAACAAAACTTACTTCTCGTTGTTGCCATGAAGAAGAAATAAATTAATGTGTATGAAAAGATCTAGCACAGTCCTTGGCACATGGTAGTACTCAATAAATGCTAGTTGAATCTTAACCACCTGAAAGGTTAGTAAATAATGTGTGTGTGTCTATACACATATACTATTTTTGTAGGAGAAGTGAATTAGAATTATATTAGTTGTTTAAAACTCTTCCAAGATATTTATAATAGCCTTCTCCTGCCCTCAAACTACTTTTCCCACTATTATACACACACTCCAAGAAGTGGAGGGCTGGCTATAAGGCAATAAGAAATCAGGCTGGCACTCATGGATCTAGAACTTCTAAAGAACAGAGAGGAAAAGAAATCATAACTTAGAATGGTTAGAGAACACCATTGACAAAAGCCACTATTTTCCAAGAGAAATTCTTCAGAGCTTCACCAAATCCAGACCAGGAAAATCAGTGCAGAACAGAAGGAAATTTTATCAGACCAACCTGTCTCCAGAATCTGGCTCTAGCCAGCAATGGATTCAGAGTCCTCTTTGCAAAAATGCAAATAGATTGAAACTAAGACATACTTAAGAGCACAAACAAGAGAGAAGTAGCTTTTGTGGAGCTGCAATGCAGGTAATTTCCTAGTGACATCACCTTTGATCCTAAGAGCCTGGGTGCTAAGCATAAAGATTTGGGTGGGTAGAAAAATGGTGCTAAGCATATAGATTCTCTAGGCATTTGGGGAAGCACTGTTTTCTACACCACCTTTCCTTGTATTGCATCTCTGAAATTTTAAGTGTCAAGGTTGCTTTCATCTGCCCAGTATCAAACAGTCCAGTTTCCTAAAGTTTTGTAGAAAGACAGATGGGGAACTCCTCTGTTCTCAGAGATCAACAAAAAAGGCTACTTTTGTTCATTATTCTTCCACGTTTGTCAGGCAAGACTGTCTTCCAAGTCTCTTTAATTTCCCTGATGCAGTTTGAACTTTGTATTGGTAAGAAGGTGGCAACTCTTTCACTATGCTCTCTCCCAAAATTAGGCAGTGCCCTGAGTCGTAGAACCAGCATGGTTGCCTATGTGGATCTGTCTCTACTTGCAACATTGGGTTACACAGGAATAATAAGAAAGAAGCTTTAATCATTCCCTGCTAAACTTTGTAGGGCACTCTCATCAGAAGGTCACTTTAATTCAACTCTCTGCCTTTTAGATCTGCTTAGAGACTCACATGATGGCCTCAATCATACTGCACAAATAACTCTTCTTCTCAATATGTCTATGCTTGGTACATTCCTCTTTTTCCTCTAGAGACTTCCAAGTCACTAAAAACTCCTAAAGTCCCCTTTTCTAAACTTTAAAGGGCGGCTGGGAGTGTAGTTTTGTGGCAGAACACTTGCCTAGCATGAACAAGGCCCTGGGTTCGATCCCTAGCGTGACAAAAACAACGAACAAACAAACAAAACCCCAACCTTTCCAGGGAAATGAAATTCACACCTTTGCTCACATTGAATGTCACAGATGTAAGAAGTTAAGCAGATTCCTGCTCCAATTTTAATCATGACTGGGATTATTATTGGCATAGGAAGGCAGGTAAGAACATCATTATCTCTTCATTCCATAGATAAAAGAAGAAAAATTTCTAGGACTCAGCTAGGAATTCCATATCACAGTATTTAGAGGACTTTCCCTATGAACAGATGCCTCTATCCACCTTTCCTCCAGTGATGTCAAAAGGTGTAAGAAAATCAGACTCCTGTCCTCTATAAGCAGCTCTGCCAGTAGAAACCAGCAAACTGGTCCTGGGCCTCTCCTGGCTCTCAGGGACTCAGGGATTGCCCGTACCTGAAGCAAGTCATGGGGAGAAGGAATGCTGGATGGAACAGGGTTAGATGATATTGACAGTGTGGACAATAAAAATAGGAAAAGGATTCTTTAAAACCTAAATCCAGATATTGTCCTCAATACAAATTTATTCATTCTCAAATACAAAGAAAATATGCCCTTAATGGCTAACAATTCTAAAGAAAATCAAAGGATTAGAATGCAAAAGAAAAGTCCTGTATTTATTCCAGAAGCCTAAACTTTCCTTCCAGACAGACTACAAGGGAAAAAGAAGAGGCCTCCTCTGCTCCAGCCTGACAGGCAGCTCCCAGGAAAGGTTGGTGGGAGTACTGTGTGCACTGACAACTAATTGGGCTCCACAGCTCCCACCTGGGCAAAGCAGGGGACTCAAGTTTGAGCATCAGGCGTTGCTACAGGTCAGGGCAAGGCAAGGAAGAGCAGTGGCTGAAGAGGACAGAGAGGGTGTACATACGTGTTCTGCTGGACCATGGGCAGTTAAGCAAGTCTGTAAAGGACTCTGGTTTTGGGTTTTGGGGGCAGGGATTGAACACAGGGTACTTATGACTAAACTACTACTATTTTTATTTTAATTTTGACATAGGGTTTCACTAAGTCATTGAGGCTGCCTAGAATTTGTGATCCTCCTGCCCTAGCCTCCCTAGTCATTGGGATTACAGGTGTGCGGCGAGACACTGGGATCTGTAGAGGACTCTGGAGGGGATGATCACTTAACCTGGCTTCTTGCTTCCCATCTCCTCAAAAGATTATAAGCAAACAATTGTTCACCGGCCTTCATTAAGGAACTTACTAGATTGGTCTCTAGAAGGACAGGATAGTAAGGAGCCCCAATCAATCCCTTCACTCAGCTAATCACTATCTCCCTTGTCAATTTTTTTCCCATGGACCAGATAAATATGGATTCATTCAGACCAATCCTAATGTCACAGAATGGCCTTTAAGAGATCATTTGATCTAGTACTCTGCCTTCAAGCAGGCAGGCAAGCTCAATTTCCCTCTTCCTTTAAAAGATCCTGTAAGATGAATCATGAAAGGTGGAAAAACGGGTAGAAGAACCAATATTTTCATCCTATAAGGTGGATAATTAAGAGACTAGCATGAACAAGGGCCTGGGTTGGGGACGTAGCTCAAGGGCAGAACATTTGCCTTGCATGAGGAAGGCCCTATGTTTGATCCCTAGCACTGTGGGGAAAAAAAAATTTAATAATGGAAAAGAAAGGTTCAAATATATTATTTTTAAAAGTTAAAATAACAGCATACTTACATAAACAAGAGGTATAAATCCTCTAAAGTTAAATCTTCTTTTGCAACAACTGAGTCAAGAAATAGAGGCACAAGCATTTTATTTAAAGCTATGATGATAAACTTCAGAACTGAACACTAAGATAATGAAAGAAGTTAATTCTAAGGGAGTAGGAGTAGAGATGAAGGGGACTGTTGCTTTTCATCACAAACTCTTACACTACCATTGGATTTGTTATCGAGTACATGCATTCCTTTTAAAAAAATAATTTTTTAAAAATTAGGTTGCGGGCTGGGGAAGTGGCTCAAGCGGTAGCGCGCTCGCCTGGCATGCGTGCGGCCCGGGTTAGATCCTCAGCACCACATACAAAGATGTTGTGCCCGCCGAAAACTAAAAAATAAATATTAAAAAAAAAAAAATTCTCTCTCACTATCTCTTCAAAATAAAAAAAAAAAAAAATTAGGTTGCTCTTCAACCTATTTGTATCACCCTAGGCTCTCTATTCTGGTGTTGAGAAGTTCTTTATATGTATTAAGGTCTCAAACCTTTCTTCTTCTTTTTTTTTGTGGTACTAGGAAGAATATCAGTGAGCTACACCCAGACCCTTTTTAAATTTTATTCTGGGACAGTCTTGCGAAGTTGCTGAGGTTGGCCTTCAACTTGCAATCCTCCTGCTTTGGCATGCATCACCATTCCTAGTTCAAACCTTACTTTAGGAAGGTTTCAACTCATCTTTCCCCTCTAATGGTAAAGGTAGAGGACAAGTACTCTAGTTTTCCTGTAGAAAACTCAGGGCTAAAAAAAATGAGTGGGCTCAAGTCTCACCAGGAACCAGGTGAATGCTAACTGAATGCTCTAAAGGGTGATGGCATCAGGGGAGAGGGCATTCCGGAAGGCAGTGGTCTCAAGGTAGTTAAGTCAATATTGAATCAGGCTGAGAACTCTGTGCAGGGCCATGAAGCTGGTATAAGCAGATTCCAGCCAGACAGCCCAAGCCAGCTCTGGGAGCCCCTGATGAAACAGAGAGATGGCAAAGAAAGCAACCTGTATGCTCACCTTTCTCTGAACTGTTTCTTCTCCCCATTCCCAGTCCTAATTGCACTTGGATCAGGCTGTCTCTTGTCCGATACCAATTATTGAAAGGATTCTCCCAAACCTCTTTCCCAAATCAAAGACTCTCATTTGGTTCCTTTGGATTGTGTTCAGCAAACGTGTTCTCATTAAGTGTGGACCCAGCTAAGATGAATCAGGGAAACTAGGGTAAATATGATTTTTGGTTGAGTGAGCTGCTTCCAAGGAGTGAGGCTTCTCTTATAAAGGGATTATAAGCAGAATGCACTTTGGCTAACTACAAGGGGGAAATGAAGAAGTGGAATGAGATGGGTCTAGAGTCAGAAGATGGATGGAACTTCATGTGCACTCTTCACTATCACAGGCCAAGAGAAAGACATGGCAGCAACTAGTTTCCTAAGACCCAACTCACTCCAAGTTCTCTTCTCAAGTCAGCTTCCTCAAAGAACTTTTCCAAAAACACACTTTCTTTCTTCCCTTAGAATCTGCAGTTATGGATTAAGTATGGAAGGAATAGTGTAGGTGGTCAGCAACTTAATGCTCTGGGGGTAAAAAGCAAGGCAGATGAAACACAAGTCAGGAGCTTGAGTTTCAAACTGACACTCTTAAGACCACAAAGATCCAACAGAAAGACTGAGATGAAGAAAAATTCTCAGGATGATAAGACCTCTGATAATAAATACCTTTGTCTCAGAACCCAGAAAGTTTTGTCAACAAAGTTTAATTCTTTCCCCAACCCACACCCTACTATTATTAGCCTGTAACTGCACTGATGCCTATAGAGTGGGCCATTTCCTCAAAACGACCATTCTGGAAGTCAAGTGAGTAAGTCACATGCTGAACCTAGGAGTCCTGATTCTGAATGTACAAACTTTTCCATTGTCTCATCCTCTTTTTCCCAGTTACCCCCCAACCCCACCCCAGGCCTGAAAGCTTACGAAATCAACCAAAACTACTCTTGTAAGGCAAAGTCAGTAAACTCATTCCTCTTAGATCTGGATTGGGGTGGGAAGACACTCATTCTGTGATCTGTTTAACACAAGCCCCAAAATAAATAATCCAAAACAAAATTTCTCACAACCTCATTCAGTTTCCATGCAGGCCTGTTCATCCCTCCTAGTGGCTGCTCCTGAGTAGTCAACAAAGTGTAATCTGATAGGGACTTCTTCAAAACTTGCTCCATCCTTCAGAAACACCCTTCTGTTCAGAAAAGCCTGAGACAGCTGAGGCTCCCCCTCCTCCCAACACATTTTCTTCATAGTTCAAGGTTTAGCTGATCCTGAAATAAGTGGTATGTGGAGATAAAGAGTGTGACAGAGAACACATAAAGAGTACAGGGAAAACAGAACCAAATGACACAAGGATCAGCAAAAGCCTTCCAACTACAGGGAGGTGTCAAAGTTGGAAATCAATGGGAAGGGGTACTGTCAGCTCTCTCTCCTACGGGAACAATCCTGCAAAGGTCTGGGGATTGAGAAGGGGGACAGGGAGGGTAAAGACAGCTACAGGGACCATAAAACACCCTAAAGAAAAATGGTGAGGACTAAGGTCAAAGTAGAATGTAAATGATACTTTGGGAATGATGAGGAGGGCCCGAGATCCCTTTCGGAGAGGGGAATAGGCAATTTTTGGAGGCCAGGAGCTGGGTGGGTAGGTGATGGTGAGGTAATGGAATCAGAAAAGGCAGAGGAAGAGAGGGATACAATCTTTAGCTCAAGGAAAATAGGAACTCTGTGCTGAGGTTGCACAGATCCTGAAGGAGTGGGGTAAAATAGGAAAAGGGATAAGGCGGGGTCCATGAGAAGGTCTGGGGCTGAAGCACGGACGATGAGGAAGGACAAGCAAGGATAGACATATAAATGGAAGGGGTCTAATGTGAAAAGGGTTCACGACTTTAAAAAAATATTTCGGGACGGAGGCAATAGGGGTAAGAAGGGGGGAGGGAATCCCCAGGGTAGAGGGAGGAGCTAAACAGAAAAGGAAGCCAAAAAGCAGAGAAAGACCCCAGGCTTGAGAGGAGAAGAAACCCAGGGTGCAGCAGCCACCGAGAGAGCAGTTTTGAAGTCGACCCCAGGTCGAGGGAGGCTGTGCGGGGCAGGGTGGGGTGGGAAAAGGACACCCCCCCACACCAAACAGAGCAAAGGTGACTTTTCGGGGAGGAGTCGCTTACCTCCGGAGGACCCCCGCAGAAGGGGTGCAGGCGGTCGGGGTCGGACTGCCGACACCGCCGCCTCAGCAGCAGCGGCCGCTCCCGGGTTCCATTGGCCGCCTGCGCTTCCCTGACAGCGGCCGCGGCGGCTGCACCAGGCCCCGGCTGCGGGGCTGCCCGCAGCGCTGCCTGAAGGGGCCTTCACTCTGCCTCAAGTTGGACAGGGCCGCAATACCAGGACCAAAAAAACAAACAAACAACCCTCTAGCCGGTCTCGACGTAAGGTTCTTCTTCTGAGCCCAAGCCCTTCTCCCGGGATTTGCTTTCCTGCTTCCCCGACGCTCAGGACCCTTCCGATGCCATAGTAATCTAAGGAGTCGGAGGAGCTGCCTGGAACACGCCTGTTCAGAAAAAGAAAAGGGGGCGGGGAAAAGATGTTTGGAAGCTAGGAGGGGAGGAGCGGGCGGGGGTAGGAGGAGGGGCCAACATTTGAGAGGCGGAACTAAAAGATAGCGTTTGCTCGACTAAGGAAGCCGAAAAGGAAATAGAAGTTGGTGGATAAATGGCAGTGCGGGCTGGAGGGCGTGGGTGCCCAGTTTAAGAAGTATTGATATGCTGTGTACTTCTATAAGTATATTGACATGCAAATTGTATGCAAATGAGCCCTTTGAGTCAGCCGCCGAGTTAGCGTCATTGCAGTCAGTGACTTTCCCCTCCCCAGTCACGCAGGACTGTCTTAGTAAATCAGACGGCGGAAGGAATGCTGTGGGGGCATAAGGGAGAGAAGAGAGCGAGGCCCCGAGGAAGACAGTCACCCTCACTACCCTTTTCATACTCATCTTTAAGGACGACGCCAAGTTTATGCCCCTATCGCTTCCGGAATGGCGCGGTCCAACCGCGTCAGTCTTTCGCCGTTAGCGGCCGACTCGAGGCTGCCGTTCTGCTCCGAGGTCACCCTCTACCTGGGCAGCCTCTGGCCTCCGCATCCAGGCGCAGACCCCTCCACGGAGAGGTCTGAACAGAGCCGGGCTGGGAGAGGTGAGTGAGATGGCCAAGACTTGGGAACACAAACCTTTTTCCAAGACCAAACAAATCTCCAAAGCCGCCCGCCAGCAGGCCTCTGGTGGCGGTTTTGTCTGTTAGCAGGGTTGACTGAGAGCCCTCTTTCTCCTCAGAAGCTCCCTTTCCTTTTCTAGGACTTTACTTAACATCCAGCACCCCTCATAGGGTATTAATTAATTAATCAATCAATTCTGCATCGAGCATAGCTATTTGAGCTGGGATCTTGGATGCCCTCACACCCTTGCTGTTTGTTTTGGGATAACTGATGTAACCTCTTTGGACGTTAGTTTCTGTCCTCTCTCCCTCCTTCCCTCTTCCCTTCCCTCAATTTCATTCCCTCCCCCTTCCCATTCTTCTTCCCCTTTTCTGTTCTCACTATGTTGCCCAGACTGGTTTGGAATTTCTGGACTAAGCAATTCTGCAGCCTCTCATAGCTGACACTAAGGCAGGCGCCACCTGTGCCCAGCTGAACTTAGTTTCTATGTCTGCAAGGTGTATGCAGTAATATTAACACCTTACAGGATTTTGTGTGGGTCAAGAGAGTCCAGATTACTATATAGTACTATATTACTATTATTGGGCCAATAATACAGGAAAGATGATGAAAGAAAAGTGTTTAATTGGGGGGCAAAATAAAGAGTAATAGCTTGAGTAGCCTGGGTAAAGTATACAGTATGTACAAAACAGAAAAAAATGGGTACTTAATTGTTGAAGGAACATGGCAGAGTATGGTTAAATTGATATGAAGAATCCAGCTACACAGTATATAGTGAGTGAATGAATGGAAGACTTCTTAGAGATATTTGTAAGCAAGGTCTTAGAATAGATTTGGGTATGATCCAGCAGAATAAAAAGGGTACATATTTGTAATCCCAACAACTCTCAGTAGGCTGAGGTGGGAAGATTGCGAGTTGTCCAGCCTGAACAACTTTTGACACCCTATCTCAAAATAAGAAATAAAAAGGATGGGGGATGTAGCTCAGTTGTTGAGCATCCAGGGTTCACAAATAAATAAATAAAACTTAAATTTTAAAAATTCAACAATTTTAAAAATTAAAAGGGGAGAGGGAATTTGAAAGACCAAAAAATAATGTGTTGAGGAATAGAAACTGGAATTTGCTCAAATCATGGAGAACAGGGCAAGAGATAAGCTAGGTTAAAGCAGTAGTACAATAATGAAAGATGAGCAGAAAGAGATCAGGAGTGCCAAAGATAGTTTAAATTTGTTACCACTGGTTTGAGGTGGGGATCACCAGTCCACCTGTCAGGGCCAGCAGCTCTTGGGCAGCTTCCAACCAGCTGTCATGCAAGAGGTGATGACCCTGCATTAGCTTAGAGTTTAAATGTCGCACATTCCCTCAAGGGGATAGGGTTCCAAAGGGCCTCAAGACTAGGCTTTTGAAACATTGTAGAAGTAGATGTGGCAGCCCTCTAAGTAGAAAGTTTTTTAACTTTTCCAGTGACAAAAAAACAAGATTCTGGGAATAGCTTTGTTCAAACTTAAGAAGAAACTACTTAAAAAGAAACTTTTTCATACCTACAGTCAGTTGCAAGTCTTTTCTTAATCAAGTGAGACCACTCCACTTTCTTACATACACAACAGTATTTAAAGGAGGGAATAGTTCAGTTTTCTGTTTACAGCTGGGCTCATATGTGTAAATTTCTTTGTGTCTATTTATTAATTCATCTTTATGCCTTTAAAAAAAACTTACAGTGTTATACACGGATACAATACATTTGTTTATTTTTATGTGGTGCTGAGGATTGAACCCAATGCCTCACATGTGTGAGGCAAGCACTCTGCCACTGAGCCACAACCCCAGCCTTTCAATAGTTATTTTTTTGGGTCACTCTCTGCTTCTATAATTTTCTTTTCTTTCTTTTTTTTGGTGCTGGGGATTGAACCCAGGGCCTTATCTGCAAGCTAACCACCTATTTCACCGCTGAGCTCTCTATACACCCCAGCCCTGTTTCTTTTTCTTTCTTTTTTTTTTTTTTTTTGAGAGAGAGAGAAATTTTTAATATTTATTTTTAGTTTTTGGTGGACACAACATCTTTATTTTATTTTTATGTGGTGCTGAGGATCCAACCCAGCACCCCACCATGCCAGGCAAGCATGCTACTGCTTGAGCCACATCCCCAGCCCCCAGCCCTATTTCTATTAGTCCCTTCTAGTGTGAACTCCTCAAAGCAGGAAAGGATTCATCTTTGAATTCTGGCTGTATCCTAGTTTTTAACACAGGAAAAAAGTTCATATTTGTTGATATAGCACCGGGTTGAATGTAGAAGCAGATAAGGCAGTCCAGTCAGTATTAAAAAGATTTCTACAATTGTAAAACAAGGCTATTATTTTAATGCCTGGGGAAATATAGTTATTTAAGGTAAGTTAATAAATTAAATATAGTGGGTTTTTTATTTGAGGGATGTGTGTATGTGTTTGTGATGGAGTCTGGTTATCTTGCCCATGCTGGTCTTAAACTCCTGGGCTCTAGTGATCCTTCCCCCTCAGCCTCCCAAATGCTAGGACTACAGATGCAACCACCACACCTGGTTAGTAAAACTTTTTAAAAATACATATTAGGGGCTGGGTTGTGGCTCAGCGATAGAGTGCTTGCCTGGCATGTGTGAGACACTGGGTTCAATTCTCAGCATCACATAAAAATAAATAAATTAATTAAAGGCTCATCAACAACTAAATATAAAAAAATTTTAAAGTATAAAAGTTTTCAGGGGCTAGGGATGTGGCTCAAG